GACATCTTGGTCTATAGCAAGACGTGGGTGGAACACATTCAACACCTGCGGGTCGTGCTCGAGCTCCTAAAGCAGCACCGACTTTTCCTTAAAAGATCCAAGTGTTCCTTTGGGGAACACCAAGTCCTTTACCTTGGACATGTAATCAGCAGGCAAGGTGTAACTGTGGACAGCTCCAAGATTCAGGCCATTAAGGACTGGCCCCGGCCACAATCCGCCAAGGCCCTCTGTGGGTTCCTAGGGCTAACAGGGTACTACCGAAAGTTCGTACAGAATTACGGCCTGTTAGCAGCCCCGCTTACCAACCTGCTCAAGAAAAATGCCTTCCACTGGGATAGCACAGCCGAGGCAGCCGTCGTAGGCTTAAGGGAAGCCCTCTCTTCCACACCAGTCCTCCAGCTACCAAACTTTGATCTTGAGTTCACAGTCGAGTGTGATGCTTCCAGCATGGGCATAGGAGCCATCCTTCAACAGCAAGGGCACCCGATAGCCTTCTTCAGCCGCAAGCTAGCTAACCGCCATCTCAAATTACCCGCCTATGAACGCGAGCTCATTGGCCTAGCCAAGGCAGTACAGCACTGGAGGCCGTACTTGTGGGGCAGACCCTTCATCGTCAAAACGGACCACTATAGCCTCAAATACTTGCTGGAACAACGACTGACCACCTCCCCACAGCAACATTGGGTCAGCAAGCTTCTGGGGTTCAACTTCCGAGTAGACTATAAGGCAGGATCCCTGAACCGTGCAGCGGATGCCCTATCCCGACGAGAAGAAGATAGTATGCTCCTCCATGCGATCTCCCAACCACGAGCCACCCTGCTAGAAGACATTCGGAACACACTGCCACAATCATCAGAATGGAACAACATAGTCCAACAAATACAGTCGGGTTCTGCTAACCCGAACTGGTCTCCCCATGATGGGCTAGTATTTTACAAAAAGAAGATCTACCTACCCGCTGATTGCCCCCTCATCCCCTCCATCATCGCCAGCATACACCACTCAACACACGAGGGCATTCAAAAAACGCTGCATCGCATTCATGCTGACTTCCACTGGCAAGCTATGAGGGCCTCGGTACGGGACTTTATCCAGAACTGTACAGTGTGCCAACAGCA